GAAGAATGCTTGCATTCCCTTAAAAGAAGTAATATCCTAGACTGCTGACAGACTCAACCTTTAAAGTGTAATTTTAAAATGGAAATGTTAGTTTAGTATCCCTTTACTGCAAAGGGAATTTAGGAAGAGTTGGTTTGGATTTTTTCACTTTTTCATATTGACACTGATGCTTTTATCAATTTAAACACACTAACATTAAACCACTAAAAGGCATGTAGGTTTCAATAAAATTCATTTTTTATCTCTTCAGCCCATATAACCAAATGAGCTGCTTTAACTTTTTTTAAGCAGAAAAGATAATAAAGTTAAATGAAAAGTCCCAGAGCTTAGTTTTAAGACTAAATGGTATTTTAGATGAAACAGTTAAAGAAAGCAGAGTTTGTAACTCTGAGATAAAGATAATGGCTTAAATCTATCTTTACATTATGAGGGTTCTTCTTGGAGCTGCACAATTGATAAACACACTTCCACTTCTCACTGACGTGAGCTGCTATGAGCTGCCTGTGAGTCAGAGCAGGGACACTGTTATGGAAAGAGCATTTGATGAAGGTTGGGAATTGGAGGATCATCCCCAACGGTACCACTACCATGCTGGGAGACTGTGGACAAGTTGCTTCTGTACTTCTGCTTTCTGATCTGCAAATCGAAGATAATAATGTTCACTTTTAATGCAAGATCTGTTGATCTCTAAATAAGAAATATTGTAAGCATGCCTATAATTTTGCCAGTTCAGTTGGTTTCTTGAAATAGCTTGTGTTACAAGAGAGAAAATTAAGAACAGAAAGTAGCACCAGACAGAAATTACTGTAAATAAGTTTACTTGAAGGTCTTGTAATGAAGAAAGGAAAGTACTCACATAACCACAGAATGGATAAAATAGTGATTAAAGCAGTAAAGCAAAATTTGCACACCTAAGCGTTCAATAGACCATAAACAACGTAAAAGAAACACATGGCAGAAATAAAGACAGAGTTATTAAGACATTAAAAAAGCATCACATAGGGCCAGGGAGGTATACTGCCAGAAAATTCGTGTGTTTATATACATACATGCACGTGCATGTGTGTGCACGCATACTCACAGTCATGCAGAAAGAGAAATATCTAACAGCCTTTAGGTTGGAAAGAAACTTCAGGAGTCAGATTCTGTTGGTGGTGCTTCACCCATCCAATACAATGCAATTCACAAATGAGTTAGGGCTGTGGAGAGTGAAAATTAAGACTGATTCTAGCTTGCACATATAAGGGGTACTGCTTGTTCTAACACTCACTGCAGTATGCAATTATAAATACATATAATTATGTGACTTAGATATCACAAAATGACCCAACGCTGCTTTCTGCAAGACTTGGCTATGCAACCAAAATAAGCAATGTAAACCAGAAATGAATGACCCTGAGGATTCAGAAACTATTCTAAGAGTTTTTATTTGAGACACAAGGAAAAAGCAGTTGTGAATTTCGCTAATTATTCTAGAAGACAGAATTACTGCTGTTTATATTGAACAAGGAGTTCAAGGACTAACAAGGTGTTTTTTTCTCCCAGGTTTGTGTCTCAGTTGACCGCCAACTCCAATTGCATCTTTCCTTGTGGTAAAGGCATTTCTAAGGCCTCTTCTCAAACTGAATTCTCCAACAACCAGTAAAGTCTAAACTAACTTTGCAGCCTTCTCTCCAGTGCAGGCACTGAGTGTCTGTCTCACCTTCACTCCCACTCAGGTGACCTCTAAGAAAGCTGTTCGACATGATTATCTTTCAGTACTCTGTTCCTCTGTTCAAAAGTTATTTGTTCAAAAGCTATTTGGGTGAGCAGGAAGGAAGAGGAGGAGGAGGATGGAGGTGCAGAGGCATGGAAAGTAAATTACACAAACTTAATTCCTTTGGAACAAACTATTGCCCTTATATGTTCGTGTGAGCTCAAAAACCTCCTTGATATAGGACTTCCATTGAGGTGACTGATAGATCAGAGTAGAAATTTTATCCGTTCAGTATAGCAGAGAAATGATAACTTATTCTCTAACCAATGGAGGAACATCTGTTTCAAATACTTCAGGCTCCTCACAGTTGAATTTCATCCAAACTATGTCACAGGATTGTGGATCCATGGTATGCACTGAATGTAATTAATTTCCTAGCTTAACATACTGCTACCCAGAAAGAGCAGCAAACACAGCATGACTGTGGTACCATTTTTTTTTTTAAGATACCAAAGAGATACTTCCTTTGTTTAGTAACTTCAACTATAAATCATGGGGAAACAGATTTGTAGTGTCTCTTTGTCATATTCCTCTTTGACAAGTGCTCTGGATAAGCTGGACAAATTGGGTAAAAACCAAAGCTGGAGACGTACATATTTTTCCTGGAACCAGGAAGACATATTCCACCTAGTTAATGCTCTCTGTTAAAAGGAAAGCTTTTATGATATTTTTTCCAGAAGGAAAAAAACCCACATTGTTACATGCAAGTTTGCACTTCATGCCAAAAATGCAAATGCAGATGAAGAACCCCATCTCTATCCACTGCTAGTTTTCAGACCCGGGATCTTCCTTTCTTCTCAGCTGTATGTACTTCCCAGGTGACCACAGAATTTAATGGCAGCTTGCTTTGAAGAAATTTGCATTCTCCTCAAGGATTTCAGATCTATGGCTTGAACAGTCTGTTTTCTTACAATTTGACGTATTTTATGGCAGAATGTTACCCATAAAGATGCCTAATTAAGTGCAAATTTAGGTATTTAAAGAGGCTAGAGTTTCAGAGGAGCCAAGTGGTTACATCCATAAGCCAGTATATGTTGCAAGTCCTCAGAATCTCTGTGTTATTGGGGGACCAGGCATCAAGCTAAGCACTGCATTATCAGGACATCCAGAAGAATCACCAAGCCTCCTACTAATCAATTATACCTAATGCTAGGTATAAATGCTAGGTAACCCAAACTAGTAATTTATACAGTTGTGATACAGTTTTGGGTTCCATTTGCTTAAATTTCACATATTATCTGCCTAAGTTGAATCAACGACTTCTTGAAACTCCTTATGTCAGAAAATGCAGAAAACCAAAAATAGAAATGTATGCTTTAGCTAGTGTGCATGAATTGCCTGATAGTGTCTTATTATGTTTTATGGTACAGACATTGCAAGCAAGTAGCAGCTAGGATTTAATGAACATGGTGCTTAGTTTTAGGAAACATACCTGTGTTACTTCTTGCACCTCTGAAAAACTCAGATTGTATTTAAAGCACATCTTACATATAACAGCATGAAAATATCACTGAACTGAAATCTTAGGTTTAGTGCATTGTCATGAACTGTACGCAATTACTGCAATTACACTCTGGCTTGTACTTTACAAAATATCATCGAGGATTACAATGCAGTATCCTTTAGCCAACTTAATAGGGCTTTACCTAGGAGAGTGATCAAAGAATTCGAAGTTTTACAAACAGGCTACTTATTGTTTAATCATATCTGTAAGCTGTCATGTTCCCATTGCTCTTATTTTAACCACACATTGATTATTCATTATAAAACCTTGTGATAGCTTAAAAAAATCCCTCTATAGCAATAGCTGGGATTTGATTATGAACTGAATCCAGGAAACACTCAAGTCTCCTTCATTCTAAGAGTAATTCTGTTAAGAGGGAAGCACCTTACTTGCCAAAGTCAAAACAAATCCTATGCGTAGGTGGCTCCTCTGTTCCGACCAATTGCGGGGGGGGGGGGGGAGGTGCGAGAAACGCGGGGAGCAGAATAAACTATCGTATAAAGAGTTTCCTGGCTCACAGCCAGACAGATAAGAGAAGTGTACGGAGAAACCCTTCCATCTCTGTCTATACTGATGGGGAAAAAAAACCTGATGAACAACAGTATGTACTGAGGGCAGCAAGAGGAGACACAATTGCAGATGGGCGTTGTGCGACAGAACTCTGAAGTGTCCCATGGACATATATTTCCTTTAGAAGATCAAGACATTTCAAAATAGCTTAAACAAAAACTGGTTAGTTATTTATCAGCCAGGAGCGAGGAGAGAAGAAAGAGGGAGTGGTATTGGCATTTCCATCTCTTGCTGCTTTGTTGCAGTACAGCGATCTCAGGAAGTCAGGCAAATTTTGTGCTACAATGGAAGTGGGAAAAGAGGAGGTTTATACATCTCCTTCCATCTTGCGCTGTTGTTTGCATTTTCTTACGCGAGTCTTGCCCTCCCTGTTGGTAAGAGGATGCAGCAGCTGTTTCCTCTCAATTCCTTTCAACCGTAGGCACAGAGCGGAGGAGAGAGCTCAGCCCTTACGAACGACTGCTCCATGGGGAGGAAAGGGCAGCAATCCCAAGAGCACATCTGCCACTGACTCATCATGTTGGAAATTCCCAAGGAATTTTAACTTTGCATCTCAGAGAGACTAAACAAGTGGGCCTCCCAAGCCAAACTGTGGAAGGGGAGGGGGAGAGTTGCCTCCTTTGCCTTTCCAATGAAATGAGCAGCTGACAACTCCATATGGCTTCTTTTAAGTTTAGTGCACTGCTTGCTCTGCAAAGGTTCCCTTTGATTCCAGGGGAACCTTTTACAGAAGGAGATATTGCTTACCATATGTAATGTTGGCAGGATAAGATTCCCCCTCCCATCTCGTCTTTGGGAGGGGAGAGGAAGGAGGTGAACATCAAGGCTCAGTGTGCCAAGACTTGGAAATATATTCACATGCCCAAGTGGGACTCTTGCTTTGAACACGAACCACAACAGCTCTTCTGCACTTTAGGTAGTTCATTAACAGAAATCAATACAAGCTGCCTTTTAAGAAAGCCAGCGCTTGTTCGTTGACACACTGCGTAATTCCATTTAGCAGAAGCATCAATGCTTACAAGGTGTGCAGTAAATTACGGTAAAACCACAGAATGGCAAGGCTACAGAAAATATTGTTTCATTTCAGTGCAAACTTAAAACATAAACCTAAATACATTGAGAGGAAGAGTAATTACTAAGAACCAGAGACAAAAGATGTGTCGCCTTTACCTGGAGGCCCTTCTTCTCTATCTTCTTCTGGAGTATCTGAAGGCACTTGGTGAAATCTGTAAGGTCCTGATCCATGGTCTCAATTAACTCACATCCCTAGTGAAGAAGCAACAAAATGGAGAGGAAAAAAAAATAATGTCAGTCACCTTTTATTTTGAGAACTAATGTTGTCTTTGGTGAAATTAACTGCAGCCAACAACTCTTAAAGTCTCTGCATGGAGATGCAGAATTAAGTAAGAGTGTAACCCCTACAGAGTCCAAAGACCGTAGGTCCCAGCTGAACAAATCATTATGAAACAGGGATTTGGTAGGGATAGGAGTAGATATTTAAAACCCATCAAGTACATTTGTGAGTTTGGATAAGCATGTTCTACGATGCTCTGCTGGACGGACAAGTTCTGGTGTAGTGAGCCCTGGGTGATCAGTAACTTCCAGGTCAGGTTCCAGGAAAATGACTGTCCTCTCTGGTGCTACAGTTACTATGTTTCTGCGACATATATTCAAATGTGTATAAATGCAAGCATACAAAAGTGTTTAAGCTTCCTGGAACCAGTGCAGTTGTACTAGTTAATTTGCAGTGATACAACAACGATTTCCTTGCAGTGGGGTAATAGGGATGAGAGCATGTTAAAGTGGGGAAGAGCAGGAGTTCAGATTTCTTAATTGAGAGCTAAAGCAATTCCTAAGCCTCTGGTAAAAAGCTGAGTAAGGAAAAGCAGAGTATATCTACCAGATAAAGTCACTATTCAAAGAGGTTTCAAGGATACAAAATACCCAATGCAGCATCGTAAATTAAAATAAGAACCATACACGCTGGATTTAGAGGTTCCCTCTCCTACCACATCAAGGTCCCCTTAAAAGCCTCCTAGCTTTGTCTTTATCTGACAAGATTTTATGTTTCTGCTATACACAATAACAACTGATCAGAGAAAAGCATTCAGACTACAGAATCTTTGTATGTGTGCCTGTGTGTATAACGTATGTTATTTTGTTACCTCAGAAAAAAACCCAAAATGTTAAAGTTGCCTCTACCTTAGCGGTAAAAATAAAGGCACAGAAGACAAAATTTCCCAGATCAGTGCATGGATGGAGTTTTTGGATTGCGTGCAACAAAATGATGAGCCTTCCATAGGAAGACACACACTACCACTGAAATGCTTCCCCACACAGCCAGAATGCGTATAAAACCAAACAAAACCATGATGCAGTAGGGGATTTGGATGAAGTAGAAGAGATAAGGGAGGAGATAACAGCATGTTTTTTATTATATCTCTTCTCCTGCCTCCTCAAAAACTTCTGAAAGGAAACCTGGTCAAAAGCAGTAGCCTTTCTGATACCTGATGCTGCTCTAAATACCTTTTAAAGTAGTAATAACAGGCTCACCAAGATGAAGCATCACATAGCTGCAACAGCACATGTAATCAAAGACCACCCTTGCAGAAGCGATGCTGCTGCCACCACGAAGAGGCTAGAGAAAATGCAGCTGGAGCCTGGACTCAGTGCTAAGCATCAAACAATTTAAAGAGCTGCCATGTCTCCGCTCTTCATCAGGGAAGGCCAAAACATAAAATTGGCAGGGGGAGAAGGGACACAAGCTATCTGGAGTCTGTACTGAACGTGCGAGTTGTGCAATGCCAGCCAGACACCAAGGGAGCCCAAGAAAGGTATAGAGATGTTCAGGCCCACCCAGAAAGCTCACAACTGGATCTGAAAACTACTGAAGGGATTTTGTTAATCAAATCCACTCTAAATGAAAAGATGTCTCATTCGCTAAGAATGGGGTGCTCTCAGATGGTCTCGTTATTGGCGTTGATAGTGGCAAGAGACACCATGCTGTGAGAAACTCTGAACAGACAGAACCTCCCAGTCTTTCACAATCAGCCCTTGAACAGCACGGGAACGCGACAGCTGAGGACTAAATCCATGGCAGGGACAGCTACTGCTGAGCATGGGAGAGGAGACGGAACCTGAGCTCTTAAATTAGCAGTAGAGAAGGAAGGTCTTTTATCTTTTGCCAGGGCCATTCCTTGGCTTCACAGCTCTGGCAGAAGTGGTTTACAGGTACTAATTTATAAATAAAAGATTTAACCACCACTCTCCCCCCAGCACTTTGAGATACTCCTTTCTGTAGTCACTAACAAGCCCGATCTCCTCCTTGGACAGTCAGGTTTTGGCAGCTGCAGGTAGGCTGCAATTCTGTCTCCACCCAGGGAAGACCAAATTGTCTGGGTCTTTTTTATTAAGTGATGATCTACAACAGCTTAAATTATTTTATTATTTTAGGCTTTCTACTATTAAAAACATTTCACTTGAGGTTAGTTCTTGCCTAGCTTCTCAGGATGTTCTTTGATAAGAAAAATATTTCAGAGCAACTACAAGGTACTACCAAGGCAAGATAACATCAGCATGGTGGCTGAAGAGCACCGTAGGTAATTTGCCGCAGCTCCAGAAGAAAGGCGTGATGCACCACACATAGACGTCTTATGTTCAGCCCTGCTACTGTCTTTTGCACGTATTCACAACAAAAGGCCTCAAATACATGTCACAGAAATGCAATCTAAATGTGTAAACGGGATGTCAAATGCACAATTCATTAAAGGCATGATACTGATGATTAAAGGCATGATACCCATGATACTGATACCAAGAGGGCACTGTGGCAGCAGTAACTAAAAAGGAAACTCAGCTTAACAGTGGTATCCTGAAAGTGTTTATTCGCTGTCTGCACCTTTGACACTTTATGCAAGTACTGCTGTAGATCATACTGAAAAACGTTGACAGAGTGCCACCATTAAAGCCACCACTTCCTTCAAATTAAACTGTGATTTCTCATTCTCTTTCCACATCAAGCAGATAACCAGTTCTGGAATCGGCAGAGATTTTAGATCTGCTCCTTTCGCGACAATGGCAAAGAGACTGGCGTGGTCAGACTGTACTGGGGAAGAGGACAGGCAGCAGCACTCGCATCTTCCTGCATCCTCTTTACAGCCTCGCTGGAATTAATGTCTGTGCAGTTCATGTTCACTGATGGCAAGAGAGTTTTAGATAGATCTGTTGCTCCTGACATATCAAATCCAATATTTTATACCACAGAATTGGATGACAATTCAAATGCAGTTCTTGTCAACCTTCACCATATTATTCCTGAATGACAAAAATCTTCAAGACAGAGCTTTCCGATGCAGCCCGGGTTTAATGAAAGGACACTATAACAATTGCAAGATAGGCAATAACGCTTGTAGTTTTATAGATACCCGCTCAACTTAATAACATTAACCTTTGGTAAGAAAGTTAAAAAGCCAAACAAATTTAACATTAGGAAAGGTTAGAAAAATCAATACCACACAGCAGGAAAGAAAACAATAGATTGCATCTGATGACGATATAACTTTGCTGAATGATAGGATGAGGCACACAGAATTAGGCTTTGGCTGTTCTGTCTTATTATAGCAGTTATGGGAGGCACATTGCTAAAGAAGGAGGAGTGTGCCAGACACACATAATAGGATTATTGAACCCTATATTTCAGACAGACACTGAAATCAGACAGGCACTGAAATGTCAGTCTGAACATCTCAGCATTTCTCCCATTTTTAGAAATACTATGCATTACAGCATGTTGTATGTTTGAAGAAAGCAGTGTGTAGATGTCCATTTCCCCATGTCCTTACTAATCTCTTTTTAAAAGAAAAAAACATGTTTGTTCTTTCTCTAATCTTTCTGAGCATGAGAATATAATTAGGACAGAATACATAAAATATCCTAATTTGCACTCTATCTCCAAGACCCTCCTACGGCAAGCCATTCGAGTCTATCTTTTGAAGCCTGTGTCTGGCTGTGCTCACTGAGTGCACCAGTGACGTCCAGTTCAGTCTTTTAACAATCTCTGTTGCACTGCGGCTCAATTTTGAGGTATCAATCTCAATATAGTATTAATGGCAGACACAGGAAAACCATATATCCTCAAGTTAAAAGAGAAGAAGGGAGACAGCTTATAGAGCCTCTCAAAACCACAGCACAGACAAATAAAGTTTAAGGGACCTATATAAATTAAATGGTATTTCTAAACACTCTCCTTCCCCTAGACCTCACCTGCCCAAACAGTAATGCACCCAGTCAATCCCAATACCTCACAGACCAACTGAGTAAGAGCTATAGATTCACAGAACTATTTCAGTTGGAAGGAACTTTTCAAAGTCATCTGGTCCAACCTCTCACTCAGAGTAGGTTAGATTTGCTCAGGTTGCTCAAGGCCCTTTCTAGTCCAGGTTGAGCATCTCCCAGGATGGAGACTCCACAACTTCTCTGGGCAACCTCTTCCAGTGCTTGACCACTCTTGTGGTGAAATTTTCTTTCCCAGCGTCAAACTGCGATCTCCTGTATTGCAAATTGTGGTTGTTGCTTCTTCTTCTATCCCTGCTTACCATAAAGAAGAGTGTGGTTCTGTCTCCTCTCTGCCCTCCCATTAGGAAGTTGAAGACAGCAATATGATCTCCTGTTCACCTTTTCTTCTGGAGGGTGAACAAACCAGTTTCCCTCAGCCTTTTCTCACGCATCATGTGCTCTAGACTTCCCTAACATATGTTTCCCTCACTTGTGGTATATCAGCATGCGATATTTCCACCTCAGAGAGCCTGAAGAGGTCAATTAGCAGCAAGGAGGCAGAGGGTTCCTAGTTCTCTCTTCTTTTTAATGTAAATTTCTGGCCCAAGGGAATTTCAGTCATTTTGCCCCTCTGGTATCCTCTTCCGCTTTTGCCCACTCAGAGAATAACCCCAAACCTCCACATTCTACATATACTAGCTGCAGCCAGCTGAATGTTTTGAACCCCCAGAAATTTTTATACCCAAATATGCAGACAAGTATTTAACACTCTGAATTGGACTCAGTGCAGTTGATACCGAAAAACAACTGTAGGAAAAAGCATACATGGATCCAAGCAAAGTGCTGCTCTAGACCAGGCATCGATGAACAGAAAGGGACCACAGGGTCTGACTGCAGGTCTTGGACCAAGCCTAGCAAAGAAGATAAACATGTGGATGCATAATCAAACACGTTTAACAGATGACAGACATTACCTTCTACCACCTTCTCTG